ATATATATAGAGGGTGCATGTAAATTGAAAAGAAAATAATTAGCCGTTTCATAGTTATAAAATAAAATTACTTCTGAACGTATTGCTGCAAGTATTTCAGCAACACCCTGTATATCTGTAAATAACGTGCATTCCACAGTACAGTTGTACAGTTACGTGAAAATTGATCAAGGTAAAGGTACAATCTCATATTTCTCAAGAATGTAAATGTAAGTTACAAAAGCTTGTTCTACGTATCATGAATATATCTCAGAGTTCTTAGAAAACAATGTCTTATGTCTTATGTCACGCCATGCATAAGAGAACGATCGATTTTTGTTTGTAACACTGTTTGCTATCTATATATCATTTACATAAAACATTTGTAAGGTGAAGGATACAAACGTAAGAATTTAACACGTTTGTTATTTTCATGTTATATCAGCTCTCTTGCTTGTATCGTGTATACTTTTGTATTGTTGCTTCACTAGACAGCCGCAATGTAATTTTTTTTTATCACTATCCGAAAAATTACTTTTCGGAGAAATCAATTCATCATATATTTTGTTTTCTTTATTATCTGGATGGAACGTAGAATACTCAAAATAAAGAATATTCTCAGCAATTTTAAATAGCTCACTTTGTCGCGTGATTATAAAAATGTTATGTACTTTTGCAGATATAATGGAAAAACTGAATTGAGACGAAACGTACCAGATTCCATCACGTCGTGGGTACTGACTGCATTTTCTGTCAATGACGCGCACGGATTAGGCCTTATAGAAGAACCCAGAAAGGTTTGTTGTAGATAAATATATACATTTATATAAATCGAAATATCGAAATATTAATGAATTGTAATATATGTATTTAAATTATCAAAATTATAGAAAGTTCTGACAATGAAATTGAATTTATTATAACTGCGAATACCAGATAAATTTTTTCTCAAAAACGAAATATAAATTCAATAATAAATTTAATTTGCTATAACAAAATAAATGAGAGAAATTCGATCATAAAATTCTTATTGAAAGTTCTATTAATTTTCTGATTCTCTTTTTCGCAAGCACACTTTGTTAGGAAGGTTTGTTATTATTTTAATATTATAACATGCTTAAATCATGCACATTGATTTTTTATCTATCTGTTCTTTTAATCTCTAATGATGCAATGTTGGATTAATTATAACAATAAAATATAACGACTATCTTTTATATACATATATCTTATTTTTATAAATGCATCTCGAATAATCTCGATAAAAATCTATGCGAATGCGAATAATAAAAAAGAAATTATCCTATAAATAAATAAGATGAATTAACGTCATAATTACAGAATAATTATATTCATATGAAAATATTATTTATTAGTTAAAGGTATTTAAACCATTCTTCATATCCATCGATTTGCCGTACTCGGTGATTCGGGGAGAAATCGTAGGGATACAAATCGTGGTATTCAATTACATGAATAAGGACTTGATAACTGAAGTTCTGTTAACGAATGAGGGACAATTTGATTTTGCGGAAGTTTCCAACGAAGTTCACGATGCACCAAGTAAGTTGTGACATAATGTTATTTAGATCAAAAAAGAATTAGAAATAACAATAGCTAATTTGTAATTTGTAATTATAGTAACATATGCAGCTTACAAATATATTTTAATAATAAACACATATAATAATTTACGATAAATTTACGATAATTCACGGAATGAAACTGATGTTTATTATAATTTTTCAGAATTGGAGTTATATCGCACAAAGAAAGTAGATGTAAAAGCTAATTCCGGCTCGACTGTATCGTTCATGATTATTCCAAGAGAACTGGGATACATCAGTATTAAAGCGACTGCTAATAGCGTTTTAGCTGGCGACAGCGTTGAACATAAATTATTTGTCAATGTAATAATCTTTATTTTTTGTTCGCATATTATATTAATTGTTCGATAATAATAACTCCGTTGCAAAACCTGCAAAAACAGATTTTGAGCAGAGCCTGCTACCAATATTTGATGATAAAAAAGCAACAAATTGCATACAGAATCTGTAATATCTGACGATGTGAGCAAACTGTCCTCAAAAATATGACAAAGCTTGCCGACATGCTATGCCAGTAAATTGCTAGCAAAAACCGAACAAAGCCTGCCAACATGCTGTGCCAGCAGATTGGCAACAAAAACCGAGCAGAACTCGGTTATTATGCATATTTAAACACAATAATATTAGAAAACTAGATGGCGTCCGTTTCTCGCATGCAAAATTTATCAGACTTTTTATATAAGCGAAATCATAAGCAAAATTTAAACATGCATTTATTATTTACGTATTTTTATGTATATGTTTGATGCAAGACGTAATCGTCCACAAGGAAGTTAGGACAACTTCTGCTCGGTTTTTGCTGTCAATCTGCATAGCACTGGCATAGCATATCAGCGAGTTCTGCTCGGTTTCTGTCGTCAATCTGTTTGCATAGTATGTCAACAGGCTCTGCTCAGTTTCTGCCGCCAATCTGTTCGCATAGCATGTCAGCAGATTCTGCTCGGTTTCTACCGTCAATCTGCTGGCATAGCATGTCAGCAGACTTTGTCGACAAATCCCGAGCCTAATGCGGACACAGATGGTTTTGCAGTCAATATCTGATCGAATTTATTGCCAATCTGCTAGCAAATTACTAACATTTTGCTTGCTGGGAAGATATAAATATTGTTCTACTTCAGGCTGAAGGAGAAACGCAATACAGAAATGAAGCGGTATTTCTGGATTTAAGAAATGTTGAACAGACGAGTGCAAATGTTACCATCAATATACCTAACAACGCAGTTCCAGGATCTGAGAATATACAAATATCTGCAGTTGGTAATAATATTATTTAAATTATACATATTGCTTTCAAGTTAAAGGAATCTTATTGATTTTTTCCAGACTTTTTATTATTTATAATGAATGTTAATAAATATTTTTCATGATATATACATATGTATGCATGTTTAAAATATCTATACAGGGTGTCCCGCAGCATGGGTAACACCGCTCGTAAGAAGGTGAAGGGGAACGAGATAATGAAAATGTCTTATATCATTTTGTGATATTCGCAATAATTGTCGAGTTATTAAATATTAAAGTGTAAATTGCACAAATAAGAGCGCACGGGGAGAAAGTGCTCACCCGCCTGAACCGTAGGACGATCCAGCATGACGACAATGGCCATCCAGCGCTCGGCGATGGGCGCGCAGCGAGGGGAAAGATAGTAGCCGCCTCATGCTTCCTATTCGTCCTACGCATCAGGCGGACGAGCGCTTTCTCCCGCGCGTTCTTATTTGTGCAATTTTTAATATTTTAAATAACTCGAAAATTATTGCGAATATCGCAAATTGATGCCGGGAAACCTTGTATAATACTTGTATAATTTTTTCTGGATAGAATATTTTGAGAAGTGTTTTATTTCTTTATTTATCGTATATCTTAGGTGATATTTTGGGCCCTAGTATCCCAAACTTGGCAAATTTAATAAGAATGCCTTTTGGTTGCGGCGAGCAGAATATGTTGAATTTTGTACCGAATATTGTCATTTTAAACTATCTCAAGGTATTAATAATAATCACTGTCGCTATATGACACAAACATATAATTTTCACATAAGAAAAAAATACTTTTTTTAGAATACAAATCAATTAACGCAAGCTGTACAAAGCAAAGCTTTAAAATACTTGGATATCGGTTACCAACAAGAATTGACTTACAAACATACTGATGGTTCATTTAGTGCGTTTGGCATGTCGGATTCTAGCGGAAGTACATGGTACAAAATTGCATATATTGTTTAATAATTCATATTACATTTTTACAAGGTATTTGATTTATAAAATAAACAATGCAAAGTATGCTAGGCCAAGTTTCAAATAATAAAACAGAGAATGAAGAAGACAACTACTCGGCGAAATCGATCTTAGGAGTCTGATAATTTTCTTTATTGAATTTATTATATATATATATATATATATATATATATATATATATAAATTCAGAATTGTTTAAATTGAACTATATGCCGTCTATAAATCCATTAAAAAATAACGGCATGTAGTTCGCAATATAAGCAATTAATTCTGAATTAATATATATAAATTCAATAAAAGAAAAATTGTCAGACGCCTAAAATCGAGTTCGCCAAGTAGTTGCCTTCTTCATTTTTTGTTCTGTTATTATAAAATAAACATTTCGTTCATCAGGCTTACAGCCTTCGTAGCAAAATCTTTCAAACAAGCGGCGGAATATATAGCGATTGAGAATAGGATCATAAACGGAGCATTAGAATGGTTATCCAATAATCAAGCACCGAATGGCTCTTTTCCCGAGGTAGGAAAAGTAAGTCATCGCGATATGCAGGGTGGAGCTGCAAAAGGATTGGCTTTGACAGCATACACGCTCATTGCTTTTCTAGAAAATGAAGTAAGTACAATTATTAGCGATATTCTTTTATTTAATATCATATTAGTGATACTCTTTTATTTAATAATCATTTAATTCCATTGTTTAAAGAGATAATTATAATTATTTGTTGAAAAAACACAGTAAAACGCAATACGCAAAATAAAAACTCCATTTTCATGCATAATTATTGAATTCGTATATGTTAATATAGGAGTCTGTGGGGAAATATCGAAATACGATAAATAAAGCTGTTGATTATATTGTTCGTAATATGGAAGGATTAAACGATACATACGCATTAAGCCTATGTGCCTATGCTTTAAATTTGGCGAAACATCCATATGAGACATCGGCATTTAACTTCTTGGAATCGAAAGCTATGAGGAAACAGGATCTCAAATGGTGGAGTAAGCCCATTCCAAAAGACGATAAAAATCCGCACTATTCTTTGCCACGTTCCGTTGATGTCGAGATGACTTCGTATGCTTTACTCTTGTATCTCAGACGCAATTTAGTCGCAGATGCAATTCCCGTGATGAAGTGGCTGGTGAAACAAAGAAATACAGAAGGTGGCTTTGCATCGACGCAAGTAAGCAATATTTCAAAAATATATATAATTATAATATTTTAAATATGCGTGAAAAGACGAACTGAAATTCCAATTAAAAATTATATATAAAATAATTTAGGATACTGTGATCGGGCTTCAAGCATTGGCGAAGCTCGCTGAAAAATTGTCGAAGGACACGAATTCAGTTCGTATCACATATAAATATGAAGGAAAAGGCGAAGGTTATATGAATATAAATAGCGGTAATTCCATGATACTACAAAAGCAAATAGTAAGTTTGAATTAATAAGAAATAATAAGAATTTGTAAAAATTGTATTATGTGTACATTAAACTTTGTCACGATAAAATATTATTTTTTTTCATTTTACAGCTACCTGCGAAAACACGATTTGTCAATATAACAGCATCCGGTAAAGGCTTTGTACTGGTGCAAATTTCTTATCAATATAATCTAAATGTAACTGGAGCATGGCCGTTGTTCACGTTGGATCCTCAAGTAGATAAAAATTCAAATGCTAATCATTTACAACTTTCTATATGCTCAGGGTACGGTATTATGTATTTAATTTAATTAATTAAATGTATTAATTTTAAATTAATGAACAAGAAAGTTTTTTTCAATTTTAATAGTGCAAATTATCATGGAAGAGAGAAATAATTTTTAAATTTATTTTTTATTTTAACAAAAAAAATGTATATATAAATGTATACGTAAATATATATGTAAAATATCTACGTTTAAATTCAAAACTCCTGAAAACGTAAAAAAATGAAAATAATTTTATTCTTAAATAGCGATATTATAATAATTCTTTTGACCAGAGATTATAATCAAGCCATTTGTTGTCAGATTTGTTCCAACCAAGGAAGCAAACGAAAGTAACATGGCTGTTATGGAAGTAAGCCTACCATCTGGTTTCACAGTAGATAGGGATTCATTACCGAGTTTAGAAATATCATCACATGTAAAGCGTGTGGAAACTAGAAATGGTGATACAATGGTGGTTTTATATTTTGACAAGGTGGAGTATATCATGGATCATGAAGTATAACCGATATTGCGTAAATTATTTGGATATCTTGCACAAAGATATTTGATAAGAAAAACAATTAGTATATAAGAAATAAAAATTATTTGTTATTATAGATGGTGAAACAAGAATATTGTCCAACAGTGTCCGCATTTAGGACGCACAAAGTAGCTAAACAAAAACCAGTTCCCGTTTCTATTTATGACTATTATGATTCATGTAAGTATGATAAAACATTTTAAAAATCAATTTTATCTAATAAAATGTAAAAAATATTCAAGATAGAAATATATATACACACACATAATATGATTTCTAAGAGATTTAAAGAAATATTTTTCTTTTTATTTTGTTTCTGCATGCGCAGCGAGAAGAGCAAGAGTATTTTACGAGCCTAGACAGACGACAACCTTATGTGACCTATGCGAAGATGAAGATTGCGAAGATATATGCATTTCAAAACCCGGAAAACGAAAAGATAATGTTACAGTGTCCGCTGCGTCACACAATTATATTTCTGTATATTTACAATTTACATTCTTCTCGTTTTACTTCTTGCTTTATAAGTACTTATAATGTGTGTGTGTGTGTGTGTGTGTGTGTGTGTGTGTGTGTGTGTGTGTGTGTGTGTGTGTGTCGTGTGTTTATGCGTGCGTGCGTGCGTGTGCTGTGTGTGATATATATATATATATATATATATATAGTTATTGAGAATAATTATTTCTTATTATTTTAGAAATTTTAAATTTAACAAGACATATATAAATAACATACATAAATAAGCTATATAAGTTGCGACCAAAGTATACATATTTGTTATACAGAATATAAGATATAACAATTTTTATAGAACATCCAAATCAAACTGACATAAGATTTAAGTATTGAATACTAAATTTATAACAAAACTTAATAATGTTTCTTGTTATTAATATAAATACAAGTTATTTTTATTATACTATAAAATTCTTATTATATCTAAAAGTCCTTTACTAATAAATTCTAATACTAAACTATTTATATAAAATGTTTATTCCATATTTACATTTATTTTTACATAAAAAAAGAAAATGACAGAAACAATAAAAAAATAGTAGAAAAATACGAAACACAATTTATCAATAAAATATATTTAATAAATGCTATACTTCATCTTATAGGGTTTTCAAGTTGGTTTTTATTTGACAATTTATACAGAAACATTAAAAATAACATAGCGACTCAATGATGCAGTCTATAATCTAAAACAAAGATAATAATACCACATTGTTATGCATGTAGAAGGTCGTCATCGCTGTCTGTTTGACACTGCATGGGATCAGAAGCATCAAGCAAAAGTCTGGCTTCCTCAGTGGTATCAACCTATGATAATAAACAAGATATATGCAATATATATGCAACATTTAAATAAAGAAAATATTATATAATGGATTTTTAAACTTTCTAAAGTAAGAACAAAACAAACATACTCTACAATATTGGACACGATCAGTGCCTCTTCTGAAACTAAACAGGTTTGTCCAGGGACGACAACACGTCCTTTCTACTGGTTTTCGAAAATAAATTAAAGCGGCTATCACCGCAATCACAGTTAAAATTACGCCAGCTACTGTTCCAACTGTAAACACAAATATTAATCATCGTGAAATTATTTCGGCGGGATAAAACGGCCAGGATAATCAGAAGGAGTAAGAGGAAATGAATAAAAAAAAAAAATATGAATAAAAAAAAAAACGTTCGACAAATTTATTATTAAAATATAAAATAATTTGATGTTTTAATATTTTATATTTTTTAATATTTTTCAATATAAAATAACTCGATAAACATGTTCAAAAATAAAACAAGAAAATAAATAATTTTATTTCTTCGCGTATGTTTCGCTTTATATTCCAATTAATCAAAATATTCTTATCACTCACCTCAGTCCTATTAAATTCAGTATTGATAAAGGTTATATTGAAAAATCTGATAATAATGTAGCTCTTTACCGTGACTAGGAGACAGTTGCTCCAAAAGATTCCTAGAAGATGATACATCTTCTGTGTTCTGAGAATTGGCATGTTTTCCGCAGATTACGTCGGTGTACCACTCAAATTCTGCGCTGCATTGGGATTCCTGAATCAAAAAAAAAGTATGATGTTACTATGTTAAATACAAATTGGCAGCGTTTAATGTAAATTTTACTCGGCGCTGCATCTGATAACAATCCAGAGATTTAAATGCGTGACCGATATGACAATCTTATCCATCTCAGTCATGAATAAACATATATTCTACGCAACCGAGAAAGCTAAAGCACAACTGCAAAAAAATATGTTGAATAAATGTTGAATAAATCACTGAGAAAAAGCAGAAAATGTTTTTCTTAGATTTTAAGATGTATTTTAAAAAATTTTTATTAATTTTACTTTTAAATTTAAATTTTAATTTTTAAAGTGATATTATATAAGAATAAATTAAACGCATAATCAGTTGCAGGAAATGAAAATATAAACAAAATTAACAAAAATTAAATCTACCTTATTAAAATTATTATTTAAGTAAATAATTTCTCTCTCTCTCTCTCTCTCTCTCTCTCTCTCTCTCTCGTTATTTCTAAAAAATATTTAAAAAATTGGAATTTTTTGCTTTTTTTAAGAAGTAATAAGACTTCAATAGGAATTTGATTATCTTACAAAAACACATATATGAGTTTTTTCGATATTACATCACATATAAAAGATTTACACGATATCCTTAGCACGATATTGTCCCTCTTCTATTGCCATCATTCTTATCAAGCTTGCGTATTATTATCAAGATACAGATGTCGAATATATTTCGCCTGTTTCTTTAGATAAGTTATAAAAAAAAGAATGCCAATTTAGAAAATCAAGATTATTTGAAAAAAAATTTAAGAAAAGTACAAAAGTAAAAATAAAAAAATATATTAAATAAAAAGAGAAAGTCTTTATTATATTCAGAAAATTCGATAACACTTGTATTCGGACTAAAGCGTTACCCTTATATAATTTTGTCCCTACACACACAAGATTATAAATTACTTGATACATGAATATATGTATGTATGTATTAAAGCATATTTCGTATTTAAATATTTGTATATTGTAATTGTTGAATATTTGTTACCAAATAAGCAAACAATCCATCAATTTATGATCAATTGGTGCAAGGAAAATAATAGCTATATAGTTGTTTTGAAAAAAATTTACAATCTATAATTATATACTTTTTTAATTATGTCTTCTTTACAATTGATTTGTCTCGTTATTCTATAAAAGTATTAAGCTTAAGGAAAACTAAATATTTTTCGAAATATTTCATATTTTATGTCAAGATATATGTCAGAGTAAAGTATAAAATAATTTCAAAACTAATAATGTTTAAATATAACTTTATTATAAATTTTTATAAAGAAGAAAAATTGTATTAAGGCATTCAAAATTAATTAATTAATTAAAATTTTTTTTAAATATGGAGGATTGATCTTTTTATCATCCCTTTAAAAATCCTATAATAATATAACATATCCTATATCACACGTAGATATCATATAAAAAAATCTTAATAAATCTCAAAATGCTCAAAAAGAGTTTTGCTATCTCTAATCCTAAAAGAAAAATTATTTGATATTTTAAAAAGATTAATTTAATTAATAATAATAATTTTTTATTATCAATTTAATATTATTAAGTAAAATTAATTATTAAATTATTATTAAATAATAAATAATTAATAATGGCCAATACATGACACACAAATATACAGATACAAAGCATTGCATCCTGATTTTGTAAGCAAGTTCATGCGTTTTAACGTATTTATAACTGGATACGTACATCGCGATTCTTCTCTATGCCTAATGATAAAACCGTGATAGCAGATAAAAAAAGATAGAAGATAAATGACTAAGTGAGAGGGAGAGTAGAGAGAGAATGAGTGAGAATGAATAAAAGAGGAGAGAGAAGAAAAGTAGGGGGACAGGTTGTGCGCAATCGGCCGGAGTCAGTCAGTGGCGGACTGCGTGGCTGAATGGTCGGATTGGTGTTAGTGTTTAATGACAGTTCCGATGAATCAAGTTGGGATTCTCCGTGTAAAAATCATTCATCTTCGACTACGGCAATTTTCTTATACTTCTTACATCTAGAATCCAGCCTTTAGCAAATGAACGGAATCGAGTGCTATTAAAAAGCAAAAAAAAATTTTTTTTTATTAATACAAGAATTCTGTGCGGGAAAGTCACATGTCATTCTGTTCGTAATACGAAAAGTGTATTATACATAAGTGTAGATATACGTATGATGTGTGATATCATTCTTGAGAATTACTGCGATCATACGATAAAGGAATAGAGATAGGCACGGGGAGATCGCAAATAATCGTACCGCAGTCCACCATATTGCGATTGGTAAGTCAACGACGATATACGGACGTCATTTCCGCGAAACCGGTTCAGGCAACGCCTCACGTATAATCGTCTCGCGCGCAGGATCGGATTTAATCTCCCTTCCTAGATCTTCCATAGAGATCTGATAATTCTGCGTTCGAAAATATATATTCCGCTGCAAATATTCTGCAGCGGAATATAATGCAGTTAATGCGGATAATAATTGTTCGGAATTGTACATTGTTCAATTGTTACATTGTTACATTGTTCAATAAAGAATATTAATAATATTATATTTTTTGAAGTCCCTTTATCGTTAGGAGAACGCGACTGTGAGCATGTCATGTCTTCTTTCCCCATCATATAATAAAAATAAATTAAAGAGCAAAATTGAAAGAGAAAGATTAACGTTTTCGACGTTTTTATTATAAGTAGCATAAATTATGTTAAATAAAACAAGTTCATCTTCAGTATCATTTTTCGTGAAATTGGAAAAGTCTTAAAAAGTTGTATTCCCATAAAATTCATGGACATAAGCGTCCATATTATAAAAAAGTATAACACACATTACACAAATATAAAATTTTTAAATTAAATTAAAAATGAGAATATATATATTCATACAATTACATACATTTGTTTTATATTTTTTCATGGCATACGTAAGGTGCTTAGACAAAATTTTATAGATGATAATTTTTTCAAGATTTTTTGTTTTCACTAGAGTTACAAATAAAAATAAAACAAAATACCAAAAATAAAAAAATATAAAAAATATAAAATGTTTTTCTTTTCTCTTTTTATATTAATTGTATTTTTTGTATTTTCGTATCTTATATTGTAATGATCACATGTATATGTATTTGTAAAAAGCGGAAGTCTTTATAACCTTTTTGGAAATCAATAAAAATTCTATGTACAAATAATGTATAAGTAAACTTACTTTCACACTGAAGGAAAGTATTTAAGATCACATGAATAATTATTAAATTTTCAATAATTTATAATAAAAATAGAAATAAAAATAAAAGAATAAAAATAAATTTATACGATTTAAATAAAAATTTCAATTAAAAATAATAATTTTACATTATATAATTTTTATAACGTGTAAGTTAAGCCCTGTTCGCGCATGACGTAAACAACTTATCCGTGCAGGATCGCGTCAAGGCTACACACAACGACTACACATATTAAACTCACGTTTCGATCGAATCATAGTTGGATGTCGCCGAGGATGTATTATTTCCTTTATTTTTTTTCATTATCGCGACGTTTTTTCATTTGAATAAAATAAATCGGTCAAGTTTCGCGTCTATTTTCCTCGTGATTTAACAAGTTGGTCATTACACTGGGTATTAACGTGCTCTGGGGAATACCCCGGCGACGAGTGTGATTTTACGACGCGTATACACAGCGGTTGGAATTTGGTAACAGGTGTTTATATAACACGAGCATATAATTGAGATTTATTCAAGATAGACGCGAGCGATGGAAGCGAAAGGAGAGGCGTCGCGTATCGCAGAATCGAGATATAATTGTTGTCTACGAACTTTGGATCGGCGTGTCTATCGATCTTTTTTTTCTCCATATTGATAACCGGAGCCAAATGAAATGTTGAACAACTAAACTATGAAATGTGAAAGCGCGCGCTTCGAACAATCGCAGATCTTGAAAAAAATAAAATTATATAAGACGTTATACTTATAGAAAAAAAAATAGAATAATCCGGGTATTAATTTTGTGTATATAGCTGTATATAAACACGGAGAAAATAGTTTTGCTGGCAAATCTAAAAATTTGGCTAAATTTGAAAATAATTTTATTGGAATCATCAAAATTATTATGTAGGACGCCAAAGTATCATAATAATACTGTAAAAATTATTGATTTTCTAGAAATAATTTGATCATATATAATAATTTTGAAAACTTAACAAAATTATTTTCAAGTCTATATTTGGTCAAACTTTTAGTCAATAAAAATAAAATTTTTTATGAAATTTAATCTTTAAATACAAATGAACAACAAAAGCTTTATTATACAAAAATATGAATTTAATTTTTCAGGATTTAAAAATTTGATAATTCTACAATTAAAATAAGTTATTATTTTTTATTATAACATCGTGTTTAAAATTATAAATGATTAATAAAATATTTTTGGAAATAAAAAAGGAAAGAAAAATATTATTCTATAATATTCTTAAAGTTGTCCGACTTATTCGAATTCAAATTTGAAATTGAATTTGATTCGAACCCGAATTTGTATATCCGAATGTGTGTACGGTTTAAATTAAAATAATTCGTAACTTTTAAATTAAAGAAATTCAAAACTTTCGAATTGGAGAAATTTGAAAATACGGATTAGCAATTTTACAAAATCAAATCAATACTATTCTTTTCGTACTAATTCGATAAATTCTCATGAGTTTAGGAATTGAGTTTTACAATACGCATCCGCAACGGATGTCTGTTACAATTTCTACATGAAAAGTGATATCGCGTTTATGACACATAATAACGCGTGATCTTTTTGTATGCTGATATTTTTTAAATTGTTTTAAATTTTTCTCTATATGTTACAAAACTAACTTGTATACATTCACAAAAGATGAATGTAGAAAGAGGAAGCTGGAAAATATCAGAGAGCACGCAAAGATCACGTATTATCACTAATACGATATCACTTTTTACACAGAAACTGCAATAGATTAAAAACACAATACGGGAATCGTAAATTCATGAGAATTTGTCGAATTGATTTATTTAATGCAGAATTACTTTCTTAAATTTTAGAACTCAAATAGGTCATTAATTAAAAAACAAATTAAAAATATTTTCATAAATAAATAAAATTAAAGATTAAAAAACTTACTCTCTCTCTCTCTCTCTCTCTCTCTCTCTCCTCATTCACTTTCGCTGTCTCTTCCTAGATAAAAGTATATGGGGGAGGGGGAGAAGAAAAAGAAAAAAGAAAAAAAAGAATATTTAATTAATATATTTCAAAAACTATATAAACTATATAATTTTATTTTCATTTGCTTGACAAGCGTAATAAATATTTTAATATTTGCATGTGATAAAGAGTAAAATTGCTAAAAAATTAAATCAATAAAATTAATAAAGTCTTGTCAATTTCGTTATGGCTTCCTTTACTTTTGCAATCATTGTGTCATTTTGACTTTCGACATTCTTAGGACTGCCGGAAATGTCATTGCAAATATCAAAGAAAATATCCGTCAATTACAGAATTTAATATCGGATAAAATCTTGAGCGTGTTACTTGAGCATGTTACTTTGTGTTTTAATATACGCGGTTTAACAGATATTAATATTCCATCGGTCATCATATCATTTTATCCAGTGATCCATGTGAATTAGATTTCAAGTTTAACAGAATGTTCTCAACTAATTATACAATCCTTTTAAATGGATTTATGATTAAAAAAACTAATCTGTCTGAAAATATTTCGCAGAATAGAATCATTTTAAAATAAAGAATAATAATATTCAGTCATGATGATAACATATTTTCACATGTTCTTGATATTAATTTCATATAATTATTTAAGATATATAAGATGATGTTCAAACATGATGTAATATATAACATAAAAAAATATTTATAAAATATTTATAAGCTTATTTATAAATATATTTGAATTCTTACTGATTTAATTCAATGCTGATTCAAAAATTATTTAATATTGATTATTGGATAATTGCCATGATTACATATATAATGTTAAGAAATATTATAAATATTATAAATAAATCAATATTATTAATATTTTAGATATTCATTCGATAATTTTAGAATTATTAAGAATATTAGAATTAATGATTTTTGACCGCCAAATCGAATTGAATAAAATTTCACTGGAATTAAATTGACGAAATTTAACTTTCAATTAATAATATAATTGCGAGAGTAAAATATAATAATAAAATGATAATAAAACGTAATGTCAATAAAATTTGATTTCGTTAATAAATAAAAAAAGTTTAAAACTCTTCAGATAAAATTAGTAAAATAATGTCAATGAGAGCCACCGGATATATGTTTTGTTTTAATTTATCTTTTTATTTGCGGCACTTTTTAATCTATACTGAAAAGAATTCAAATTAAGATTCGAAACATTTATGAATTTCTTATTCTATAAGAACATTATAATGTAAAAACAAATTTATACATTTACATATGTATATCTCCTGTTGGCTCATAAGTATCGTTTTAAGTATTGATTTAATTTTGTAAAATTGCCACTCTGAATTTCTACAATTCAAAAATTTTGAATTATTTTAATTTGAACGTATATACGTACGCATACGCGCGCTCGCTTACACATACATGATAGATTTGGATTCGATTCAAATCCAACTTCAAACTTAAATTCGAATAATTTGAATAGCTCTAAATATAAAATAATGTATTTTTCTTTCCTTTTTTATTTCTGAGAATATTTTATTAGATAAATCATCATTTATAACTTTGAACGCAATATTATAATAAATAATAATAATTTATACGCGATTATTTCGATTGCAAAATTGTCATGTCAAATTTTTAAATTCTAAAATATTAAATTCATGCATTTATATTAAATATAGTAAAGCTTTTATTGTTAATTTGTATTTAAAAACTAAATTTCTTAAACTAAATAAAAAACTTACTTTTAATATTTATAACACAACAAGCATGAATATGTCTATAATTATGAAATAATCAATTGAAATGAGAATTTGTTTTTAAAATTTAAAGTTTTCAAATCTTGTTTATATCTTTGTTTATGTCTGTAGATTTTATGCTTATATATCAAAAAATTATTGATTCTCTTGCTTCAGTTCGATTTAATTTCCATCAATAAAATTGAGTTAATATGATTAGCTTTTTCCTTGTTGTAAAATTATCTATTAACTACAGTTCTACAATAAACTACAATTAATTACAATTCTACGAATAAATGTGCATAGATGTATAATAATAATTTACGTAAACGTGGATTTACCTAATACTGTACAGCTAGTACTGAGACTTTTTTAACTGCTAATAAGAGATAAATAATTAAAAAGGTGAAGGCAAATCGACGATTACTGAGAAATACAAATAAATGAAAATAGACTTCTAAGAAATAGGTTCGTAATATTGTTATTTTTTGACTAATGAGAGATGTATAACGATTACTATAACGATTATTATTATAAATTAAAGATAAATTATATATTGTAAGTAACACTGCATCAGAAGTCTTGCCATTTTTCTAAGCTTCTAATTCAAATAAAATGTTGCATTCTTTTTTGGAAAGCGATAATAAAAAATATTGATTCCTATTCCTATTCATACAAACATATATAAATATAGATATAATAAGCATGTATTCCATCGAGAAATAAATGTATCTACTGTGCGTCTTGAGATCACCCGTCACAAGGAGCATTTGCTTCTATTCTGAGAGTTTTGGGTCCTGCGTCCACCCGTTTGAGGGAGGAGAACACGGACGAAATTCGGGCGGCGCGAGCCTATATTTTTGCGTGAATCTCTTTGTTTTTTGTTCTCGTTATTATTGTTTTCTATTTTACTATTACTTTGTTTTTCTACTTTACTACTTCCTAAATTGGCGAGATTGAGAAATTACCAGAATACTAATCTGCGACCGCATGCCTCCTGACAATCAACTGCGACCGGATTAGAAGAGGATGCTACCACCGGATGTGAGAACTAGACAGATCGTATCACCCTAAATAATTGTCGATCTTTACACGCAAAGTTCCCTTTGCCTTAAGTAACGTCATTACAGAAACCATGATGCCGATCACAGTAATACGGGAACAAAGGAGTGATCAAAAGGGGAGGCGCTACTCCGCGGGAAGTTGCGAGGAGACCCTGAATCGAGAAAGATTGACTGGGAAATTGGAGGACATACATAATCGAACCAGAGGAAATAGCCACTTCTTACCGAAAAAATCGGTTAATCGTGAAAGAATCCTCAAGAATAATAAGCCAAGGAAATCGCCTTCGAATCTTCCGCAGAGTCGAAGGCACGGGCCATCTAGGGCTCGCGCGTGAACAGAAGATCTATCGATCGATCGCGCCGCGGCGCTAATTTATAGAAAAGAAGGGATGACGATCGTGTTCGTGTCGCCGCAGGATTTGCAAGAAAATCACTTTCCGTTCAGTGGTAGTTGAAATGCTGAGTAGACAAGTAGACGCAGAAGAGGAGGATCCGTACGTGAGGACAGAGTCGAGGAGAGCGAAGCGTCGTCACTTGATGAGACGAACAATCGAATTCTATTTGTAAAGAATCGATCAATTTCGCCGGAGGAATCGGAGTGAATCGGAGGAATCGCGCGAGGGCTGGCTCGCGAAATTTCGAAGGGAAAGCGTTTCCCGCGACCGCGAGAATTCCGCGAGAATTGTATACTTGCCGTTGTATCTTCCGGCGGGTCAGCATATGTCGTTCTTCTCGATAAAATTACCGGGTCTCTCATAGTTTTTTTTCTCTCGCCCTCGTCATTTTCGGAAAGTCTAAATAAATAAATATATTCGTCCAATTCATGTATTGTTATCGCGTGTAGAACTGTACCATAAAAGTAAGATAACATGCGTTGTTTTAAGTTATCGTTAGTTAAATTACTTTGTGTAACAATTGAAATTGTTTAATGTGAGCTCGGAGAGGATAAGATCAGGATAAGGCAGTGATTTTTGAAAATCGTTGCCGCGTGTATTATCGAGTCGAATACCGTATCGTTGTCGTTATTCTATTCAACTTGCAATTTTCTTTTTTTGTGATTTGCGTCATTATGAGATTTGGACTGCTTTGGGAAAGTACTGAACATTGAAACTGCGACCGATACGATTTCGTGTTGATTGTTATTTGAGCCAAGAATAAAGGCAATCTCTTTGTTATCGCAATTAATTATTGTTTACATGAAACATCTTATTCCTTCTCTCTCGCGTCCCGTCCCGTGAACTCCCCCCTCTATCGCCTATAAACTAAACTAACTGCCGAAATCATTGCTCGCGTCCGCGAGTCTGGATTAAATTGCGTAAGATAATTTTTGCGATCTTTTATTTCTAAGTGAGTGGCACGTGCCTGGCGTCAAATCTATCGTTGAGTTACGTTCACGAGACCGATCCCAGGGGCGGCGGTCACATTACATTGATGCCGGATTATGAAAATACGCAGAATTATGAAACAATCTTTTATCATAATAGTTCCCGTTCTGCAATTATGTCATTTGTATTTCATTCACGGAATGAATTTCTAAGAAGCTTATGAATAAATCTCCTTTACTATTATTATATGGCTTTTATTATAAACTTTTATTTTAAAATTCACTACTTATGTAATTACTTTAATTAAATTACTATATAAAACAAAGAGCAACGATAACATATGCATATTTTTTATCTTTCAATAAATTCTTTTAGTTTAGTTCTTTATACAAACTATCCCAAGAATATAATTTAATATTAAAAATTAATTAAAATAAGAAATTGAGCTGTAGTAACTCATAAATTATAAGCAATTAAATTTTATTTTTAAAAAACTATTATATTTATATTTAAATTTTATTAAATTTTATTTTAGAGAATTTTTATTAGAGTATAAAAAAATAAGTATTATTCTCTTACGAACTGTTGCTATACTTTGTACTTTGTTATATATTTTTTCACATGTCAAATCATAATATATTAAAATCACATCAATTAATAAAATATTTATTTACATAAAAAAATATATTTTCCCTGTAGAAAATATGCATATATCATCATGCTCTTTTTTTTATGTAGTAATTTAATTAAAGTAATTACATCTATATAAGAGAAATTTATATAATTTAATTATGAATTTAAGTATGATTTTTGTTCCATACGATATTATTTATGAGAAAAAGAGTACATAACATATCAGCACGTAACAGCGAGCTTATCTCGAAAAGAGGAAGTATAATATTTATCTAACCCACGATGCTTCCGATTTTCGTGGTTTTTCTTAACATCTACGGTTAGGAAATAAACTAAGAGGTGAAAGCGAGTTGTAATAATATGTAATAAAATAATATACTAGCAATAAAAATATGTTTTTATGTTTAAACAGGTATTAAGAAAGTTACCAAGGATCAAATTAAGTATATATAAGAAAATGATCACGCGTAAAGCATGCTTTATAATATTGGCTATTGTTTTGGGTAATGTTTCCGCTTCTCATTGCCCTATGAATCAAAATTGCATCTGTCAGCCGAATCATGATGGAGGAATCGAGATAAATTGTTCAATGAAAAATGAGTCTTCGTTTATCGTGAATATTCAGCCAGGCCAATATCTAAAGGTACTTAGTCACGAACTTAGTTCTGTATTTAATTAACCATAGAGATTTATTAAAAGTTAAATGATCCGTTTCAACAATTCAATAGATCTGATTCCAGCACAATACAAATAAAGACATCTTGTATCTTAATTTTGAATTTCGCTTTATCTAAGATTTTTAACCAACGGCAACACAAATTAGGAATTCTTCGTTTTCACGTTTTCATTCTTTTTTAATTTTTGAGATCTCCCGTCTTTCCTAATTAACTACTTCGTGAAAATAAATTTTAGAAGAAACATATAAATATACAATATATAATATATACAAATATTCATAATTTAATACAAGATATTTTCTAAGAATATTTAATCTTCACATTAGAATTTGTATATCTCCGTTTTTTAATTCATATAAACTTTGGGTTTTTTTAAATGGTTTTAAATGGTTTTAATTTATATCGGTGAATGTTTTTTTTACACAGATTGAATGTATTAACTCGCCAGAGTGGTCAGATTTCCATTTAGACGTATCGTCCTTGACGAAGAATGACGATATCAAGTCGATATATTTCCGCATGTGCAATTTACCGACCAACAGCAGTTTGGGTGAAATCACGCGAATGCTGGGAATTGGAACCAGCGTGGAAAAATTATCCTTTCAGTCGTACAAGAATTTAAGCTTCACCCTAGTAAAGCATCATTTGGATGACTTCGAGAATTTGAAGTATCTGACCTTATCGAGTAACAACGTGACCTATGTAGATAAAGATCTGTTAGCCGGCCTAGTTAACTTGACAGGGCTTGACTTGCGTGAAAACAATTTACACTTAGCCTCCGGATTTTTCAATTATAACCCCGGATTGCAGTGGATTGAATTGGGCGACAACGATCTGCAGTCGATAGCACTAGGCACGTTTGATAATCTTAAAAATCTAACGTTTCTCAATCTGTGGAAAAATCACTTGACCACACTTCAGTCCGGAATTTTTGACAAACTTGTCACTCTCAAGACCCTCGATCTCAACACAAATTACCTGGTCACGTTACCAGAAGATATTTTTGCAAAACTCAAAAATCTTGAAGTTCTTAACTTATCTCGAAACAACTTTACACATTTACCGAGGAATCTGTTACAAAATAACACAAAATTACGTGTTGTCACTTTACTTGATAACAAGCAAAATATGACAACTCTGCCAAATGGATTGTTTGCTAATTTAATAGAACTGAAGGTGCTGAACTTGAAAAAAAATGGACTTGTTACATTGCCGGAAGATCTTTTTTGGGGGTCTTCTTCATTGACTAATATCTCTTTGGAACGAAATTATCTTACAACTCTACCTGTACACATATTCCAGGATTTGAATGAACTCCAAGAGTTGAAACTAAATTTTAACGATCTCGAAAAATTGCCTGATTATATCTTCTCAGATAATAAGGAATTAATAACGTTAGATTTATCAAAAAATCGGCTTACTTCTATCTCCAAGTACGTTTAAATGACTGTCATTATATAAACGATAATAATTGTTTATGATTTTAATTTAACTTTTATCAATACAGAACCATTTGATATTCCAGGCATCTATTCCAAGGATTACAAAAGTTACAGAAACTAAATATGGAGCAAAATCAGCTAATAATCATTGATGACTACGGTTTTAGTCCTTTAAAACAATTGAAGATTGCCAAATTATCTAACAATTATCTCACGTTACAACGTACTTTTGACGATTATCCTAATGAATATAGAACAAAGTCGCCTTTCCACGATTGCGAATCGTTAGAGGAATTATACTTGGCCAATAATAGTATTTCGGAAATATGTAGCGATTGGGTTATGAGCACGACACAACTCCGAAAATTAGATCTCAAATATAATAATATATCTATTATAACCGTAAGTATTTGTGAAAAAGCACTATTAATATAAATATGATAGATTTATGAGATATATTACATTTATGCTTGTAGGAAATAATATCTGATTTTTTCTTTTTTAATTTCAGACAGAAGATATGCAGTTTATATCAAATAACATCAAAGTGGATTTAACACATAATAAAATCCAACATATCCTTTTACGCGACGCTGAAGAGATTGCGAGTTATCAAGCAGCTAGGCATGATGCAATAATACTAGTGGAAGATAATCCGTTACATTGCGATTGTAACTTATATGACTTTCTGCGTTATATCGAAGGTAGAATGCATCCTAAAGTCCAAAATTATTTTCACATAATACCAGGACATTTGACTTGTCAAACACCAGAGAATCTGAAGAATGTGCGCGTTAAGGATTTGAGATCTGAATTATTAACGTGCCTAATAATGGATCCTGATGTATGTCCCGAAAACTGCAACTGTTTTCTAAGGCCCGAGGATAAAACATTCATATATGATTTCTCTCATAAAAAATTGACTAGTGTCAATTTACCAAGCAACATTAAAAAACTTGACAATTCTTTGCAAGTTGAACTAAATTTCTCCGATAATCAATTAACTCAAATGCCAAATTTGAAAACATTGGGGTTTGAATCAGTTAAGAAACTTATTTTATCTCACAATAACATCTCTGAAATTTCTTTGGATGGATTGTCTAATACGTTACAGGTATGTAAATTAACAAATCTCTCTAAAATATATAGAATATTTTATTGTAAAAAAAATTGTAAAATCTAGATATTCGCATAAAATAAAAAGTAATTATTAAAGATATATATATAGATTGATCTTAATATTTTTTCAAATCCTTTTATATAGTGATATATAAAACAATAAGAAAAAAATATTGAATTGCACTATATTAAAATTGAAAATTTAATTTTATTCCAGGTCTTAGAACTAAATAATAATAATCTAACAAGAATACAGCCTGACGTGTTAGAGTTCTTGAAACAATCTACGAATTTAACTCGATTGGCATTATATGAAAACCCATGGGAATGTGACTGTGAGGCTAAGGATTTCTTGAATTTTATTCAAACGAAATTCGTGACAATATCCGGTCTGCTTGAAGTGATGTGTTCGGGAAAAAATAATTCTATAACGGAAATGAGTGTGATTGATTTTTGTCCGTTTAATACGACAGCGATTATCAGCGTTAGTGTAGCGATTTCTCTTATGGGATTATTTATCGGCATCTTTGGATTACTTTATTATAAGTATCAACGGCAAATTAAAGTATGGCTTTTCGCACATAAGTGGTGTTTGTGGTTTGTCACAGAAGAGGAATTGGATAAGGATAAATTGTACGATGCGTTCGTGAGCTACTCACACAAGGATCACGATTTTGTCGTAAATGAACTAGTGCCAAAATTAGAGAAAGGTCCGACGCCGTTCAAGCTGTGCCTTCATTATCGAGATTGGTTAGCAGGCGAATGGATACCAGCGAATATCGCTAGATCTGTAGAAGATTCCAGACGAACAATAGTGGTGCTATCGCCGAATTTCATGGAGAGTGTTTGGGGAAGAATGGAATTTCGGGCCGCCCATAGCCAAGCATTGAGCGAAGGTCGAGCACGAGTGATATTGATTCTGTACGGTGACGTCGGGCCCACCGATGATTTGGATCCAGAATTGAAGGCGTATATAAGTATGAATACATATGTCAAATGGGGAGATCCTTGGTTTTGGGATAAATTGAGATACGCGCTGCCACATCAAACCAAATTTCCGAGGGACAGTATCGCCGGAAAAAAAATCTTCGAGAATCACCAATTGTGTATTCAAACGAACGGTGATAAAAAAGAACTCATCTATCCGATTGGACTCCCGGAGACTCCACCGAATACTACACCGCCGGCCGAGACGCTTAAAAAGTTTATATGCGACAAAGAAGAACAATTATTTCTAAATGAGTATACACCCAATGAAGCGTGTAAGTTGAACGAAAACATTGCGATTATTCTTACACCAGAACATTTAATAAAACATAGTAATGGAGATTGTGTTGTTTGAGCACAAAGATAAAAACACTCATAAAAAGCAATGATTAGTGATCATTTAAAAAATCCATTTTTTTAAAAAATGCAGTGTTACACAGAACATTTTGATAT